TTATGAATGTGAATCTTCTACTTTATAATATTTGAGACAATTGTTTTATCATGAAAGATGTTAACTATGAAGGATTTTATTTACTCAAAAAGAAAAAGAAAAAAAATTGTTTACATTTATTGTGTATTTATGTTGGGGTAGAGGGTGTCACATTACCAAAATAACTCGAACATCGCACGAGTAATGAATCTAATTTATATAAAATTATATCACTATAAGAATGTTGTGGTTTAGAGTCGGCTAAAAGCCGACTCTAAATCATAAAAACCAACGTAATATTGTCGGTTATTCGTCGATTTTTGGCTGACACTAAATAAGTTGACACAATTTTTTTGTGTCGGTTAAGCCGTCACTAACAAATTTATTTATTTTAATTTTTTATTGTCAGTTAAGCTGATACTATACGTCGACATAAAATTTTTTATTTTTTTCTTTATTTTCTTTTTCCAGCTTATTATTTATTCCTTCGTATTTTTAACATTCTCGGGACTCGATTTGTGAACCTTGAGGTCTTAAATGAACTTGATAACAAAGTGCACCAAAACACATTATGCGTATATAACATTGAAAAAATTATCTTTATTTCTCTTAAAGCACGTATACTGTCGGAAAAGCCGATGCTATTTTAAGATGTAGCGTCGACTTTTTCGACACTAAATTTAAACTCTAAAGCATAACGAACATTTTAACTCTAAAGATTCCTTAGAACATAATATTTTTCACTATGGAAAAAACTTAACGAAAAGTTACATATCTTCATCAAAATTAATATCAAATATAACAAATATTTCTCCTTAATTCTTACATATAAAAATTTCATAAATAAAATTTAATATTTTGATAGTGATCAATAATTCTTCATAAATGTTGACAAAAATTTTGTCGCAAAATCCGTTACTGACTTATTTATTATAGTATTATGACGCATTTTTGTGAGAATATTTATAGAGGGACTTAATCCGTCACAAAATCCGTCACTAATTATTTTTTATTCAGTGATGAATTTTGTGACGGATTAAATTTCGTCTCTAAAAATTCGTCACAAAATTCGTCACTAATTTTATTTTTTTATTCAGTGACGGATTTTGTGACGGATTAAATTTTGTTCTATGCAGTGCGGTGTGGTGGCTGGTGCGGTAGGGTAAGCTAGGTTTGTTCTGCCAGCTCTTAACTTCCGAGGTAAGGGAAACTCATGAGTTTGAGCGCTACAGAGGTGGGTCTTTATGACCGAATTTGGTCTTAAAGTCTTCATCAAAGTTGTAGCCTTGGATCTTAGTTTTCGAATAGCGTTGGAATCACCCAAAAAGGAGTTATAGAACTCCAGATATGGCTGTTATAGTGAAGAGGGGTCAAGCTGCCAGCATTGCTTATAGCTGTTGCGGTTTTTAGAATTTTTAACAAGGTAGATGAAGGAATTTGGACTTGGTGTCTTCTTGAGAGTTGTAGTAAATCTTTTTGCAGATTTTGTGACGGATTTTTTAGAGACAAAATTTAATCAGTCACTAATTTTATTCTTTTATTCAGTGACGGATTTTTTAAGGACAAAATTTAATCCTTCAAATCTGTCACAAACTTCAATAAAAGGTAGTCCGTCACAAAAATTAAAATTTCCTCACAAAATTCGTCACTATTAGTGACGATACTTTTTCCCTCACAAAAATTCGTCACAAATATTAATTTTTCTAGTAGTGTTATCATGAAAGATGTTAACTATGAAGGATTTTATTTACTCAAAAAGAAAAAGAAAAAAAATTGTTTACATTTATTGTGTATTTATGTTGGGGTAGAGGGTGTCACATTACCAAAATAACTCGAACATCGCACGAGTAATGAATCTAATTTATATAAAATTATATCACTATAAGAATGTTGTGGTTTAGAGTCGGCTAAAAGCCGACTCTAAATCATAAAAACCAACGTAATATTGTCGGTTATTCGTCGATTTTTGGCTGACACTAAATAAGTTGACACAATTTTTTTGTGTCGGTTAAGCCGTCACTAACAAATTTATTTATTTTAATTTTTTATTGTCAGTTAAGCTGATACTATACGTCGACATAAAATTTTTTATTTTTTTCTTTATTTTCTTTTTCCAGCTTATTATTTATTCCTTCGTATTTTTAACATTCTCGGGACTCGATTTGTGAACCTTGAGGTCTTAAATGAACTTGATAACAAAGTGCACCAAAACACATTATGCGTATATAACATTGAAAAAATTATCTTTATTTCTCTTAAAGCACGTATACTGTCGGAAAAGCCGATGCTATTTTAAGATGTAGCGTCGACTTTTTCGACACTAAATTTAAACTCTAAAGCATAACGAACATTTTAACTCTAAAGATTCCTTAGAACATAATATTTTTCACTATGGAAAAAACTTAACGAAAAGTTACATATCTTCATCAAAATTAATATCAAATATAACAAATATTTCTCCTTAATTCTTACATATAAAAATTTCATAAATAAAATTTAATATTTTGATAGTGATCAATAATTCTTCATAAATGTTGACAAAAATTTTGTCGCAAAATCCGTTACTGACTTATTTATTATAGTATTATGACGCATTTTTGTGAGAATATTTATAGAGGGACTTAATCCGTCACAAAATCCGTCACTAATTATTTTTTATTCAGTGATGAATTTTGTGACGGATTAAATTTCGTCTCTAAAAATTCGTCACAAAATTCGTCACTAATTTTATTTTTTTATTCAGTGACGGATTTTGTGACGGATTAAATTTTGTTCTAAAAAATCTGTCACAAAATCCGTCACAAATTTTATTTTTTTATTTAGTGACGGATTAAATTTTGTCTCTAAAAAACTCGTCACAAAATCCGTCACTAGTTTTATTTTTTTTATTCAGTGACGGATTTTGTGACAGATTAAATTTTGTCTCTAAAAAATCTGTCACAAAATCCGTCACAAATTTTATTTTTTTATTTAATGACGGATTAAATTTTGTCTCTAAAAAATCTATCACAAAATCCGTCACTAATTTTATTTTTTTATTCAATGGCAGATTTTGTGACGGATTTTTTAGAGACAAAATTTAATCAGTCACTAATTTTATTCTTTTATTCAGTGACGGATTTTTCGATCCAAAAAGAAAAAGAAAAAAAATTGTTTACATTTATTGTGTATTTATGTTGGGGTAGAGGGTGTCACATTACCAAAATAACTCGAACATCGCACGAGTAATGAATCTAATTTATATAAAATTATATCACTATAAGAATGTTGTGGTTTAGAGTCGGCTAAAAGCCGACTCTAAATCATAAAAACCAACGTAATATTGTCGGGTATTTGTCGATTTTTGGTTAAGACACTATATAAAGAAATCACTACCTTTTTCAAATTATCTTTAAACTTTTTTATAGGATTATTTTTGAACCTTTTAAAGACTAGTTCTTTAAAATTTAATTATTGAGATGAGACATTTATTTTGTTCTTAAATAAATTTAAGTAAAATTATACACTACAAGAAAAACGGTAAAATAGTTGCGAAAAATAAGCGTCGATTAATAGCTGACGCAAATATTGTGGGACAAGTCAACGTTATTTCAAGATGTAACGTCGTTTAAGTTTAGTGTTGAAAAAACTGACGCTATATTTAAGTTATAAATACGTCGGTATAATGTGACCCATAACAAGGCAGTGAGTTTTTATTTTTATTTTTCCTTTTATTGTTTTATATATCATCATTTATGCTTCCACTCTTTGGCAAATAAAAACCACTCCAATGTTACATGTTTGAGTCCACATGAAAACACAAGTAGGAACACTCTCCAATATTCCCCGTTTGAGAATTAATCTTGAATACATTGTGTTTAGGAAATTATTTCATGTGTTTGATTTTTTATTTTTTTCTTAAAAAAAATAATAAAAAGTTATTTTTATTAGAGCTTTCAATTTTATTGCAATCTATAAATAGAATTAAGTTATTAAGTTGGACCTTAAAAAATATGGTCCAAATAGAAATGGGTCATTTTGACTTATGTGCTTAGTTCAATGGATAAAATGGCTTTAGATCAAATTGATTTGATAAAAAATTTTAAAAATTTATAATTTAATTAGGTTTGAGAGTGGTGATTTAATTTTAGGAGATACAACTATTTATAGAACAAAATGATCAAGGAAGAAATCCAACAACTTATATCGTTGAAGTTTTAGAGTTTTTGATTTAATTGTAGTTAAAGTATTTGTTTAATTTTTTAGTTAATAAATTCCTAAAATTTTTTATTTTATTTGTGTTTGACTTGGACATTTAAATGGATTTATAAATGTGTTGAAGCATGAGAACTTGAATATGTGTGTTGTAGATAGTTACATTTACGACCTTATTTATATGTTATTACTTATTAATTTGTTAGTGTTTGAAATACCAATGAGATGAGATCATGAGTTTATGATTAACTTCTTTCTATGTTAGTTAGTAATTTACAATTCAATTAAGAAAAAAATTATTAGTAAATAATTATTAATAGTTCAAGGTCAATTTAGTTAATTAAACAATTTTTTTATTTTTAATTTACAAAAAAAATTGTATTTAATTTTTGGATCAATAACTAAAAATTTTTAATATGTTTTTAGACAAAATTTAGCCCAAAGGCCCAGTGGCCTGACATAGACCATTTCCATTTGACAACTATTTTTTTTTTATGATTTTTTTACAATTCTACTTTTTATGTATCTAAAACTTTAAAACTTATATTGTTTACCAACATTTTTTTTCTTTAAAAATGTTTTATTACATAAAGTTGTTTTCTTCATCTAAACGAAATTAAATGTTTTAAAATCACTTTTCAACAAATTTATTAAAAACATTAATAATGATTATAATCAATTATCACAATAATCAATTATTTAAAATAATATAATTTTTTACAATTTTTTTAAACACATTTGAAAGGGAGCAAATATATAAAAATAACTGATAAAAAAAATTTAATTAGTACTTCTTGGTTAACACTTAATAGCACACTTAAGCAACATTAGTCAAAAATATATATACTCATTTTGAATTTTCATATAACCATGGCTCTTCACTTACATGAGAAGCTGGTTCTATTAATCTAACAATGCCTAGCTCCTATAGATCCAAAAAGAAAAGCACCACATGTTCTTAGTACATGCTGACTGGAACATATTTTTTGTTCCCTTTTCATTTATATAAAAGAGAGAGAGAGAGAAAAGAGAAAAAAAGTTAACTCTAATCACAATTCAATTACAACTTCATAGCTTCTTCAGTTCAGAATGCCACATGTTTCTTGATGCATTCTAAAACCTTCAATCTTTTCTTCACCGTCAACCGCAAAATTTTCATAGTTATTATTCACTTGTAATCGTTGTGGTTAGTGCACCAATATACCTGTTTACACATTGGTTGAAGAGCAGTTCAATATTCTCAGTTTATTTAATTGAAAATGATCCTATAATAAATATTTAACATATTATTACAGTTGCAATATATGTAGGTGTAAATTTATTTGACATATAACTACGCATAATTTTAATGTTGATTTTAAATAATATTCAACAACATATATTATACATCACTATAATTTATATCTATACTTTTTAACAATATATCAACATATATTGTGTCAATAATGTGGATAAAAATAGTTTTTAATGACAGACATTGTATCACTGCATAATAATAATAATAAAAAATTAACAGTTAAAATTATAAGCTAATATTAATACATTTTCTCCTGGTTTAAATCCTATATTCTAAGCTAAAAGAGAAATGTAACTTGATAAACTTGATTAAATAAGTGTACAATTTTTTATACTATCATTCAATCACAAATTAATTATCATACATATATAGTTAGTTTATGGAATTGTAAAATAACTATTTAATTTAAAAATGGTACGTAACATAATTTTTATTTAGTTGACTTTGTATAGATATCAAACTAAGTTAACGCGATGCATTTATCTTAGTTTATGAATCATTATACCATATGTGTTATATTTTAAAAATCAGAAATTTAAATCCTTTGCAAATTTACTCTCTAAACTGCAAAAATGCACACTTTACTTTCTTAGTTATGATATCATAATAAAACTTGGTTGGTGACTTACGAATTTTCAAGAATAGTATGGACTTCTTGTGGATACAAGATCATCAATATTCTGAAAGTTGCAAGTTGAAACTTTCTTCTTTTGTCCCCTGAAAGTAACCCCAGCTTCTACCATAAATGTTGCACAAACAGGTCTATGATCAGAAAACTTGAATTCTTTTCGGACGTACGAAAGTTGCTGAATTCCCTTTCCATGCCACAAGATTCTGTCGCACCTACAATATCCTTCATCATTCAGATTTACAATTAAGAATGCTAAAATACAATTTGGTCACCATAAGATCATACTGATATTGTTTTGTTCCCAAAAATTTCTGTTAGTACAAATTGGTCTCCACAGAAAAAAAGTGAACTTGTTACTACTTATTAGTAAGTTAACAATTTTGGTAGGGTGATAGCAAGTTGAAATAGATGGAAAAATTGGGAAACAAAGTAATACAAATAACATTGTTTAGGACAAAATTGAATATTTACTCAAAGAAAAATAATATATATCTTGAATTGACACATACCATGCTGGAGTTCTCCTTTTGTTCTTTGAAACTTTTACACCTTCAACATAGTAAGTGTCTGAGTTGAAGGCATATTTATAAGTAGGTGCAAAGGAGATCTTTCCCTCTTTCCACCCCTTAAATACACGACCTGCTTCCCTTTCCATTTTAAGCTGTTAAAAGAAGAAAATATACAATGCATAATCAGAAACTTAACTAGAAGTCTCTACAGAATTAGATAAACTCAAAAGATTATGACCTTATCAATATGAATATCTCCCATTTCATGCTCCATATTTAAATTTAAACCACGAAAATTTAACACCTAAGTAAGAAAACTAGGATGCTCAACAGCAATGGCATGGATGAACTTTCCAAATAACAAATGGCAACATGTATATGTATGATACGCAAATCAGGGCAACATTCTTGGACAAAGGAAACTACCTGATCCTTGTTGAAAAGAGAAGGCCAGTCCTTCTTTTCCACGAGCCGTTTTGCATCATCATAGCTCAAAGAAATTCTGTAATTCAAGTCCCCAAACCATATGATTCGTCTGGAGAAAACATTTGTCACATAATCAAAATCTTTTGGGACCATTGACATGAAGCTTACTCAATGTCACTGAGAATTTGAGAAATATTTGCATTAAAACTCTATAAAAAGCTTCAAACGATGCTCACTCATGATCTAAAATTTTGTCAGGCATCCTACTATGTGGTGTCTTGCAAATCCTTGGAAACTGAGTGTTCTTTAGAATCTCTATGACATCAAGATTCCTGCGAAGCTCGTCGCCCTCTTTCTCTCCAGATGCTAAATGACTGCAGATAAAGCAAAAACTTGTCTGATAAAATGACATGCTCACTGATATACACCCCTGCAGCCACATAACAAACATGGTAATGTATATAGTAACTAAAAACTTTTATGTTAAAAAGTTTGTTTCTTATTTATTTATACTTGGTATGAACTTTCATTAAGGGTCTGTTTGGATAAATTTCTCTAGAATCACTTCTAGAAGAGAAAAATAAGAAGAAAAATTAAAATAAGTTAAAATTAATCTATGCATAAGTTAAAAATAAGATTTAACATAAACTTGTAAAAAAGGACTTCTACAAATTAGTTCATACTTATGCTAATTTTGACTTATGGAGAAGTTTATTTCATTTTTCCTTCCTATTTTTCTCTCCAAACCCAAACAGATCTTAAATAAAACAAGATAAAGTTTCTTAAGACTACCTTGTTACCAAGGCAGCCCATGATCCCACGGCTAGTACAACATATTCTTAAATGGCCTACATTCTGAACAAGTTCCTTCTTCATCCAGACACTAACAAAAATTCCAACCATTTGCTTACTTGAAACAAGACTGTATTTCATCTGATTACTAGGCAAGGAAACAGTAATTGGGAAATTCTCATCCTCCTCTTCAGTGGAAGAGTCATCTAAGTTTAAGTTCGATTCTTGACAGCGAAAACAGAAATCCTTGGCAGCCTTCCTTTCCATTTCAAGGACACAGTTACAACTTTTTAGCCTCTTTCCATTTACATTCTTGAAGTATTTCTTAATCTTCTTCAGAGAAGGCTTTTGGAAGAACAATGAGCCACCGAAAGATGCAGTTGGTTTTAGTCCTTTAGAAGCCAAATCTGAAGGACCATTGAGTGACTGGTTGATTAAAGCAAGCCATTTTGCAGCAGGCTCGTTATCCTCTAATACCAGCACATTTCCAGCATTTAAAGGGACAATCTCCTGAAAGCTGAAAATTTGGAGAAAATTAGAGTCTATTTGTTCAAGATTTTTCTTTACAAAAAAAATCACTTTCTTTATGCTAGAAAAAACACTATTGAAAAGTGTTAACATACTTAAATAAGATTTTAGAATGTTTTGAAAAGCTAGAATGAATGGCTTATTAAAAAATCTCTCAAGATAATATTACATTTTTTACAATCTTACAATCACTTTTTTATTCCTTTGAGCACAACAAACAGGCCCTGTATTAAAGCAGAAGTCTGCAAGTAGACTACTTTCCTGCCTAACAAAGCACTTCCAATTATTCAAAGTTTTTTCATTGTTCAAGCAGACAGCACCACATGCACCAAACTATATTGGGATATGTGAAAACTGTGCAAATAATTTTATTTCATGACAAGTCAAAAGAAAGGTCTAAAGTTAAAATCCAAAATGATAATTGGCCTTAAGGAAAGGAAGGGTAGTTAGTTAACTAACTCCCTTAAAAGAAGGGGCATAGTCTTATCTGAAATCTTATTCATGGATAAAAATCCGAAGTTTGAAAGACAGACAGAGAGAGAGAGAGCATACCCCAAAACATACATATCTGGTTCATTTCGAACCTGAAGAAAATCACTCAAATCAAGGTTTCCAGTGGGGCATTGTCCCCCAACATTCCATGTTGCTGCGAAAACTCTAAGAAGCAAATAGCAACGATCATTAATCTGGTCATATATATTGTAATAGCAGTAAGTTATTTAAAAAAATTCTCATAAATACCTGAAATTTTGAATTGCTTCACTACAAGACATGGAAGGTTCTGAGCCTTGATTTTCAACGGATAAATCAGAAAGTGCATCTACTGGGAAAATAAGAGATTGGTCAAAATGATGAAGCAAAACAGGAACTTTAGAATGGTGTTGCTGAAACATGTGAAGTGTGAGGTTCTATTATTCTTAACATCGTCTGGTAATGAGGGAATGTATATATAGTAAAAGTTAAGATAAGGAATTAAGGATATATTATGGATAATAAAGTTTAAACTTGAATATATTCTCAAATTTGAAGCAAATCACAAGATGCTCCACCTTATATTGCAGTTTTACAAGTCAATGAAGCTATAACAACCTCTAATTGTGTCATTTTATATCAATTCTCAAAAAATTCTTGCCTAAAGGGAAAATAGACAGATAAATTCTCCCAACCACTGGTAATAGCACAGGAACATATTACTAAGCAACAAAGGTATATGCCTTTCTCAAATACCCACTTATTATTTTTAACAGTGAGAAAGAATATTTTGTGCCAAGATGAAGAAACATGTTGTGGATAGTTAACAGTGAAAAAGAAAATGAAACCACCCTACTTGCTTCATTTATTTCACCATCCGAAACTCTAGCATGAATATATTCTTATGAAATACATTAAGAAAAGTAAGGGTCGATGTTCCGCACCACCCAACCATTCTGAACTTTCAGTTATCAGTTAGGCCAGCTCATCTCCTAGTCTTTACAGTTCAGATGGGATTTTAAAATCATCATGCTTATACAAAAGATAGAAGCAAAAAAGGTTTAAGTCAAAGAGGGAAACAAAGAAATAATATATATTCTCTTAAACAGAAAAGTAGTGATTTCAATAAATATTCTCTCTTCATTGGAATAGTAGTGATTCCAGCTTTTCAGGAAAGCATATTGACATGCTGAATGATATCTCCAAAACAATAAACAATAGAATTAACAATGTCTATGCCGATATCACCCATAACTGAAAAAGATTATTCTATATTTTCAACATGCATAGCCACATTATTGTGTAATGCTGCCTAACTCTATTTAGTTGAACCAGAATGAATTTCCAGAGAACTCACCAAGTGAATCATTAGAACCTCGCTCCATTGTTCTTCCGTTTCTCTCTCTCATGGCCAAAACTTTCCACAGAAACGACTGAAATCACATCCAGAAGAATGATTGCAAGAAGAAAAAAGTCAACATTTAATCAAGTTTGTGAAATAAACATTACTTAACCAATACACAGTCAGTCACATGACTCGAGAGATTCCAGAGTGTCATCCAATAAATACCTCCATGACAGAGAACAAGAGACACGGACAAACACAAAAATTCTATACAATTAAATTGAAGACAAACTAAATATATTCAAAAAAAAAAAAGATGAAGAAGAAGAAACAAACCTGCTTTTTTCTCTGCTGATTGCTTGGTATCATATCTGAAACTGTTTCTTCTTGTCTATCCTCAAATTCGTTGTCCATCTAAATGAAAGGGGGAGAAGAGAGAAAACACGTACATTAGTGCATTAAGAATATTAGATCACAAGAAATTAATCAACGCCCATTACATGATTATTTCCCTTTAACTATTCAGAAGAAAATAGGCATCTCAAAGCATTCATACCAAAAGAAAACACTTATCATATATATTCAGATTACTTGATATACATTCAGATTACCCAAATTGGAAAAGAATAAATTCACAAATTCCCCAGAACCGTTAATAAGTGCTAACCAATGCATCAAGTATCAATTCTTACCCATGAATCTAAATCAAATAAATCACAACAGTATCAACTTAAAAATGGCATTCATTGAAGAAACAAATCTCAGTCATTTAGAGAAAACGATGCTACCCTTGAAAAGGGGTTTAAATACGAAATGTGATTCGCATAAAAGTCAACTTTTCATGCAATGTCCTGCCAGCATCAATTATCTCGCACAGGGTATTTTCAGAGAAGGAATATAAACTGAGAAAGGAAGAAAAAAGGAACCTTAATAATCCTTGTTGTAGAACTGTGAACTCTCACTCTTGTGTACAACAAAAGGGTCCAAACTTTCTCTTCCAAAGAGCTATAAAACTTGACATATATACCAAACAAGTATTTGGTGATTCCCAAAAGGATAGAAGAGGGGACAGAGAAATAGGAATAGGTGCAAATAGGGAGTAGGGTCCTCCCTACTCAAGAAATTGGAATGAAGAATTCAGAAGAAAAAAAATTAGAAAAGAGATAAAAGGGAAACAGTCAAAAGGGAGAATGGAATAGAATCTCATGTGCCCCTTCATCCATATTTATTATTATTTTTTTGATGTGTGTGGCAAAGGCTATGATTCGTCCGTTTGTTCTTTGTTTTACTCTATTGGAAAACCAAAAAGGGGTTGTTTTCAAGAGCCAACAAAAAAAAGCATTTCTTTGAGCTTCAATTCTGAGAATTGTCTTCGAAGTTTGAACCTCGTCCTTTGTACTAGTTTGAACGTTAAGGGTAGAAAGAAAAGAAGTTACTTTCTTGTGTGAGCTTAGTCTATGGAGAGAGAAAGTAACCAACCCCACGTGTGTGCCTGCAAATAAAATCACAATAGTTGGTTGTGCCATGTTTCCTATGAATGTGACACCAAAAGGTAGCTTCAGCCTTGTGCTAAGGAATGGCTTTTACCCATTTCCATGGATTTTGTGTGATTTAAAATGCAAAACGCATTTTTTTTCTTTTCAAATTACTTTTTAGAAGAAATAAAATGTTCAATTTTTTTCTCTTCAAAGTAAGGTATCCTTTAATTGTAAATTAAGAATTAATTTTTCAAATTATAAAAATTCATTTAAAGAGTTGAACTATAAAAAATCAAGTATATAAAAATGTTAAATTTTGATGTTATTATTTTCATTATGGTAACTAGTAAAATTAAAAGTCATTCAATTGTTATGTGAGAATGTCAGTTTTTTTTATAGATAATTATTAAGTAGTTTTTTTTTTAGTTATGAACTTTTTTATGATAGTTAATTAAATAATAAAATTTAAAAAAACAAAATATAACACCAAAAAGTGACTTCTTTTATTATAAGTATAGATTAATAATTGTTGTAGCAATTGTTTGTGCATGTATATGTATATAGGAAGTATCCTGTAATTCTAAAAATGAGAATTTGAAAGATTAATAGTAACTTTTCAATAAATAAAAAAATTTGAAGATTCATATTAAAAAAATAAATTGACTTAAAATTACAACAACAATTGCTACTTAAAATCTTTGTCATTATGGTCAGCACTATACCATCAAAGTCATTATTGTCATAAAGTGGATTATGAGTTTAATTTAATCTTAAAAAATTGACATATTGAGTTAAATTCATAATCTACTTTATTAAGGTGTTATCAAAATATATCTTATAAGTGTTGTTAGCCTATCGAATTACTCATTATTGGATCATTATTAGATCACTTACAAATAATTGTTATTAGATCGTTATCATAATTTACTTTTTAAAGGTGGTATCAAAATATATCTTAATTAATAAGTGTTGTTGGTCTATTGAATTATTCGTTATCAGTCATTGAATTACTCGCAAATAGTCAATCTTGTAAAATTTCACATTCAAAATTTTCAATCTTTAACATGAGTGTTGAAAATCTCAAATTGATTAATGAGATTATCATAATAGTGTATATATTAGCACAAGTAATTCCTGCCTTACAACTTAATTTTTTAGGGTTGAGTAAGTTTAATTTCACATTCCAAGATGTGAATGTGATTTTAAGCAATAAGTAATTTATTTAATCTCATCCTTATATTCATTATCATTGCAAAGTTATTTTTATATGATATATCATTATATCTATGTGAGTGGCTTTTAAATTAGAGAACAAATCAAATTATTCTGAAAGTAATTTTTGATAATTTATTTCATTTAATAACTTTTTTTCACATTAAATTTTATTAATTCAACTAATAAGTATTTTTTTTTGTTAAACATGTTATAAATGCAAAAGATTCATCAAATTTATTGATATTTAATCTTCATTAAATGATAATTAATGCTCATTAAAAACTTCGTTGACCAGTGTAACACAATTTGTCATTCCAACTACTTTTTTTTTTACCCACAAAACTTGCACCCGAGACATTATTAAAGTAATTTAAGCCTAATTCTACTTGGATGAATGTAATGCTAATTAAGTATTTTGACATTGACTCGATTATTTAGATCAAATATTAGATAAATATATGATATTCAATCTAAGGTATTAGTTAAAATTAAAAGTTACTATATTAAAAAGAATTACATATAAGATTTAATTTATGATAATAATATTTTGCCAATGTGATCTATTTTTTTAAAATTTTGTTACTATATAATGTTAATTGTTTAATGTAATAAAATGTCATTTTTAGTTTAATTATTCATTTTTTATGTGATATATGTTTATATTTTAAAATATTTATATATATAATAACAAAAATATATATATTTAAATATGTTTTAAGTGTCTAAAAATAAGTAAGTTTAATGTGATCTTGGTTCGTGTCAATTTTATTCTTAATTTATTTTTTATCTCTAAAAATTTTAGAACTAATAGTCTTAGTTCATAGTTCATACTATTATGTAATCATTTTTAACTAGTTTGTTTATTAAACGATTAAGTAATCAATTTGGTGTGACTTATAATTATCAATTACAACATGACAGAGTGTAACACCTCTAAATTTTTAATAAATCTTTAAAATAAATGTTATTTTTAGAATAAAAAATATTTACTTTAAATTTGGAGAAATAAAAATAAGAATAATTTTTTTTACAAGGATTAAAAATAAAACTTGTCCATTTTATAAAGAAAAAAAAACAATATTTACAAATCATAGAAGGTTAAAAAATAAAGTAATTTTTTTACAATAATCAAAATAAAAATTTACCCATTCTATAAAAATTAAAAACATATTTATATAATGATCTTATTCGTCATTTTGTCTAGGATTCATAAAATCTCATAAGTGGCAACCACAAGAATATAACTTTTAAAAAATTTATGTGAATCTTCTCTCCAGATTTGTATAAAAATTACTGAAAAATAAGTTTATTGAAGATTTTAAAATTGTCAAGAAATTTCCTACAATTTAAGTGTATAGGTGATTAACTCAAATAAAAATTCTCAACATTAAAAAAAAGTATCTTTAATAACAAAATATGCATTAAAATGTAAAATATAAACATTAGAACTTTTATTTTTGAAAATATTAAAATTAGTTAATTAGTAATATTATTTTAATGATGACTTGAATTAATTTATTATACTCAATGTTAAGAAAAGAAATTTATACATTGATTAAAAAAATAATTGGAGTGTATTTACTTATTAGATGACAAAGAAGTAAGAAAAAAAAATTCTTTATCGATGAAAAATTTGATAGAATGTTTACAGTGAAGGATTTATACATAAGAAAGCACAAGTTTGCATTAATGTATAACAAACGAAAAAAGAAAACTGAAAAACAAAAACAAATTATATCTGATTCTAATATTTATCATAGAACTTTTGTTTATATATATATATATATATATTTTTTTTTTTTGCTGAACAATTAGTTCCTGTTCATATATAAATCAACTCAATCTACGCTAGCTACACACTTAATGATTTTCAACAACCTAATTAACTTTCATTACACTTTTCTTTTGTTTGTTTATTATGTTCGTGGCCGATGTTGCAATCGGGGTGTATTATCTATATTTATCATAAATGATACCATTTGTTAACTATTTTTTTTTTCCATTTTGAGTTGAAATTTTTATCCATAAATATTAATGATAATTATTTTATATATATAATTATTTTTTACAATTTTAACCTTTTATAAAGAGGAAAAATTAATGATAATAATTAATAAAAGTCACAAAAAAATTTGTAAAATTTTATTTTTGAAATTATTATTAAATAATAATAATTGCACACTACCTCACTAACACAAGTGCATTCAAAGGTAGACATCACAGAATAATTTTTTTCACTAGTTATTGTAAAAGAGATAATTTTCTCAACTGCTTTTTTAGTTTCAATTTTTGAGTAAACATTTTTTACCTTTAAAATTCATACACATATATCTTATAATTTTAAAAACCACCTACTCCAAAATAAATAATAATAATAATAAGAATGATAATAATAAAAATCACTCACTGCAGTTACCTAAAATAAATTTTTGTTAAAATCATCTTCTCTTAAGAATTAAATACATTAAAATATGAAGTGTTGATTCTCCTTGCTTAGCTAGTTGTAATAAAGGGGACAAAAGATAAAGTAATTAAGTCTACGAGTAGCTAGCATTTGCCTGAAGCACCCTTTGAAGCATTCTTTTAACTCACTACAATCATGAGAGTAGAAAAATGTATTAATCTTTAAGGAAGAGAAATGGTTAATTTTGAGAAACTTTCATAACAACCTTCGTGAAAGCAATCATCGTTTCTAAGAAAATAATCAAGAGCACCATCATGCATGGATTTTGATATCTATCGGAATAATTACCATTACGAAGAAAATTTGTTTCTGACATATTAGGATGCGGGACATGCGACTCAACCATATAATTGAGTTTTAAATAAAATTTTGAGATATTTTGTTTTCTTTGAACAAGAAAGATGTATATTAGATATTTTAATTTTGTCAATTTACAAGATTTTTTTTGTTTTTATTTATGTGACCCTTACTTTATAAAAGAAATTAATGGCAAATAATTTTTCTTTGTTAATATTGAACCTAAATTTATGTCTTATCAGGAGCCTTATTCTTGGACTAGTCCTGATATGAGACATTATATTACAATTTTAAGAGGTTAAATTTGTTCTACTATTAGGACATGTAAGATAAATTTGTTCAAAACCATTTTTAATAGAAAAAGAAAACATAATAAATATCTTCATGAATTAAAATTAACTTAAGTATAAGTTATTTTGAATAATTTTTTTAATTAATTTTTTAAAAAAGTCTTAATTTTCACTTGTGCACGAGTTAATTTTAATTTATGTAGAATTTTATTTATTTTTTCTTTTCTTTTATAAGTGTTTTGTTTTTTTTGAAGAATTTTATTCAAGCATGACATTAATTAACCACATAATTTTGGCAATCAATGTGTCATCACCTTGCAAGTGGGTGCATTCGGAAATCACGTAGTTAGGAAAATAGTGGAGAAGTGGTCCTCTAATCTAATTCCATGAATGAAGTTGGTCCTTTAATTAACAAATTGTTAAAATGCTCAAAACCATAGGCATATACAACACAACAAAGAGGCTCTTCCAAATTGATGAACAATGAACAGTCAAAGTCAAGGTCTTGGTCATGAAATGGGCCAGTTTCAAAGCAGCTGAATGAAAGTTGCCGCTTATCAAACTATATATGATAGAATCTAACCATAGGGAAAAGAAAGAAAAAGAAAATGAGTGAAAATTGAAGCTAGTTATAAAGGTGGAGGTAGAGTAGTATGGTCCCCAAGGATGATTTTGGTGA